GTATCGGATATATATTTATAATATTTGCATTGGTATACATGTTTTATATAATGCATTGTATATGTGTAATAAATATATATCAAATATGTATAATTTACTTACTACTATTGCATATGTATATATAGGTTGATAGGTAAATTGAAATACATTTCAAAGCACACAAACTTCTGGACTCTCTATTCTGTTCCACTGGTCTGTTTCTTTATCCCTGAAACAGTACTGCAGTATCTTAACTATGTTTTTATACTAAATCTGTTTATCTCTAGGCAGTTTGGCTCACTTCATTTTTCTTGCTGTAGTTGGTGGTGCTTTGTTTTTAATTATTGCTCTTCTTCCTTTTTGCTTGTTCCTATAACTTTCAGGATCAACTTGTCAAGTTTCATGAAAGTACATTAGAATTTTTATTGAAATTGTTAAAATGTCTTGTATTTAAGATTATTTTAGGAATGATGGCTCTTTGAGATACTGGATTTTTCCATTAATAAATATTTTATTAATAAATGCTTATTTAAATGTTTTATGTATCTCCATAATCAATCTTTTTTTTTTAATAATGTCCTTCAGGGCTCTTCAGCTTTTTATTATTTATTACAATAAATTCCATGGCTACATGCTGATGGCTTCCAAACTTTTCTCTCTAGGCCAGATCTCTCCCCTAAAAGCCACACGCAGATTTAGGATAGTCATGACATTTCCACTCTGATATCTAGAATACACTTAAAATAGCCATAATGGAAATCCTGATTGTTCCATCCCCATTTAATTCTGCTACTTCTTCAGTCTTACTGATTTTAGTTAATAGCATTCTTATTCACCTAGTTGCTCTGGGGAAAAACCTAGAAGTTTTCCTTTCTTCATTCAGTAAATATTTATTGAACATATACTATGTGGTAGGTATTCCTTATGTACGTGTAAGGCAAATAGCAAAGAAAACAAACATGAAAACCCTTGTCCTTGTGAAGTTTACATCCTAGTGATATCTGAGGGCTGTTTTTCCTATTGAATCCGTAACAAGTCCTATCAATTTTCCCAAAAATATTTACCTTGAATTATATACTTTTCTCCATCTTGTCTGTCAGCATCTTAGCCTATGCTGCCATCACCTCTATCTTGAACCACAGAAATACCATCCCATTTGGTTTCCATGCTTATACTTATATCTCTTTAACCTACTTTCTATCTAAAAACCAAAGTAAATTTTAAAGATGTTTATCCTAGCAATTGCTTTCTATAGCTTTTATAGTAAAATGCATTTTTATGGCTTATTCAGACTTTTATAAACTTCCTACTTCCTAACCTCCAGCCACACCTTGTATTGTTTTCCTTCTCACTCATTCGATCTCTTTTTGTTTCTAGAACACAATAAATTTCTTCCCATCAGAGGGAGTTTGCATTTGGTAACTTCCCAGTGCAGTTTTTCTCATGAGGTCTGCTCTTGTTATGTTCAGTTTGTAAGGATCCATCTCAAATATCGTTTTCTCAGAGATTAATCTCCCTAAATCATTTCTCCAGCTATACTCCATTATATCACCATATTTATTTCTTTTAGAGTCTCCATCACAACTTGAAAGTATATTTTATACTATTTTGTGTACTTTTATTGTACATTTTCTACACTCAAACATAAAGTTCATGAAGGCAATGATTTAGTCTTCCTTATTCACTATGTGTATCCCCTGTACTTAGCAGAAACACAGCATATATATATGCAGCATATATATATATGCAGCATATAAATATAGAATGCTTATTCTATAAGCATTCTATATTTATAGAAGGCAGCAAAGCTTTTGGCAACACCATTAATGATACTTTTCCTAACAAGGTGTGTCTTCTTTTAACAACATGAAAAAAATTATAGTACAGTTAGAGTTATAGCTCATGAAAAAAATAACCCTTAAAATGGGTGATTAATATACAGTTGCAAACCAACAGTGGGACTGCACTGGTGGGCCACAGCAACCTGTTCTTGATTTAGTTCATTTCAGTGCTTTCCTAATGATTTGGATAAGACTACAAAATAATATATATCTTAAAATTTATTAAAATTTTAAATTCTTAAAATTTTCAATTAAAAATAAGAGAATAAAGGTCATATATTAGCTGAATGAATCTAGTCACAAAGAATTTGGATTTCCAGAATATGCACTAAATCTCAGTACCTAGATGAAATATAATAGATATAAATATTAAACCATATATGCAAAACACTATAAAACAAATTGCCAAATAGAGAATGAAAGAATTATAGCTTAGCAAAAATTTACCCTCCTAAAGTCTTAGAGATTTTAGTTGATAGTAATCCTGTTGTGAATCAACAATGCGATATAGCTGTCAGAAAGAAAAACTAATATGATTTAGCATCTTTTCATCAAAGAATAAGTTCTAAAACTGGGGTGTCTGGGTGACTCAGTCAGTTAAGCGGCCAACTCTTGATTTTGGCTCAGGCAATGATCTCACAGTTTGTGAGTTTGAGCCCCACATTGAGCTCTGCGCTCACAATGAAGAACTTGCTTCAGATCCTCTATCTCCCTCTCTCTGCCCCTCACTCTCTCATGCTTGTGTGCTCTCTATCTCTCTGGAAAACAATAAA